GGCGAGGGGGATTCCATCAGGTGCTGACCAGGTTCGCCTTGGCCCCTGCAATCCTTTGGCACCGGTGTAAGTGACGGCAGCCGGCACGGAGCACAGCCCGGCCCCCCCAGCCCCGCCGGCACCGGCACCACCGCAGCGCTCAGCACTGGTGACGGGCAGCACAGACCGGTCTCATCTGACAGACGGACAGAGCAAACCGCTTTGGCACTTAAAGAAAATGAGCTTCCCCCCTGCCCCCCCAAAGAGGGAAATGGGTTTTATCCCTTCAGCGAGAATTTTATCCGAAGGGCTTTTTCAGTCTGTAAAGGAATTTCTATTCTCTGACCCTGTAGCAGAGATTAAGGGAGGCTCAGTGGTGTATAAAAATAAAATGGATACGCAAACGACAAGCAAGCTGAAAACAAAGCTCCCCTCCCACGGTAGCCAAAGCCTGATGGGTGCTGAGCCCCAGCCGCCAGCAGCCACCTCCGCTTTACAAACCGCTTTTTGCTGAGAGAGCAGGTAACAGGGAGATGAGATCTGTACAAAGATAAATCACCCATGGGGTAAAAAAAAAACCAGGGCTCAGCCTGGTGCTGGTGCTCAGCTGCAACCAGGAGGGTTCAGAGAAGGTGCCCGGGGTGCGGCGGGGCTCAGCGCTGCCCGTGCAAAGCACCCGGGCTTGTTTCAAGGAGAGGAAAGTGGGTTTGATGATAAATGACCCATCGCTCGGCACGGGCTCGGAGCCTGCGGCATCCTCTCTGCTCTGCTTTGCGATCGCCAGCAGGTAGGAAATAGCTTTGCCGTGGCAGGCACCCTTTCTGATGGCACCAGGGGGGATGCACGGTGGCTTGGGGAGCAGTTCAGAGCCCCCTGAATGGCAGCGGGAGGAGGGGCAGGGGGATGCAGGGCAGGGTGTTACAGCACACGGCGGGGTCGGTGCTACCAACCCCTCCCAGAGCTTCCTCTCCCTCCCGCGCTCCATTTTGCTACAAAACAAATGAAGACGCTTATGAGAGCAGCCAAAAAGCTCTTTCAAGACAAGCAAGATGCTGCTACACAAACGAAGGGTTGAAGGACCTCGCTACAGCGGTCCCAGCCTTTCCTCCCCCTGCACAGAGAGCCGCCACATGCCTTCATGCCCTTGTGCAAAACAAGGCCATAAATTCAAACCAAGCAAGGTATTGCCGTGAAAAGCTCCCCGAGACAACCCAAACGGTCCCCTCCCCTCCCTGCAGCGCGCTCACATCGGTTAAGGCCGCGTTGATGTAGTTGTTGCTGTCTCCGTCCACGGAGATGAGGAAGGGAAGGCATCGGTCGGGCGGCAGGACGTCCATGCTGCGGTTCCTCTCCCGGTTGCGGGGCAGGAGGGCGATGCTGCACTCCTCCACGTCCAGGTGCGGAGTCACCGAGTTCAGGGTCTGTGAGTACACGTGCTCCCCTTAGCTGCCTTCCGGGGGCCAAAACCCCTGCCTGCTGCTCGTCGGAACCTGCTGGTCCCAGTGGCGGTGGGCACTGGGAGGGTGAGGAGCAAGGGGGGGATGCAGGGGGGGGTTGGGGGCCACTCACCTGGAACTCCTCCCGCAGCTGCGAGGAGTTGCTCTGCGGCTCTATCCTCACCATCTCCTTGTAGGTGGGCTTGAACTCGCTGGTGGGGATGCTGGTCTCCCCGCACAGGCAGGCTTCCAGGATGGCGTCGTGAATGAAGACGTACTGCTCCTTTCGGGGGGAGGAAAGGGGAGAGGGCAGAGCCTCCACAGCCTGCTGGGGACAGCAGCCCCACGCGTCCCCAGCTCTTCCCAACGCCCGCTCACCTCCGTCTGTATCATGTTGATCCTTCGTGAGCACAGGGTCTTCACGCAGTTGTAGATGTCCACGACGCCCTCGCACTCAGCCATGTCCAACATAACGTCCAGGACGATGTAGCAGCCAGTTCTCCCCGTGCCGGCGCTAGGGATGGAGCGGGGAAACACAGCAAACGCATTCCCAGTCTGCACAGCATCCACACACAGCCCGAGACACCAGCAGGCACGGAGCAAGGTCTGCACAGGCAAGGGCTCAACACACAGTCCCTGCCCGTGGACGTGGGTCCAGGCAGGGCTGCCAGGACCTCGCACACCTCCTTAACCACAGCCCAATTTTGCCTTAAACCACCCTCCCCACCACCCACCCAAACACACTGCTGCAGCGGCCCGGGGGCTGCAAGATGGTCAGGCATGGGTACCCAGGTCTAAGATTCATTTTTGCTTCAGAACAGGAAAACACAGGCTTTTTGCAGCAAAACCAGCAGCTAAACCATCTGAGTGCCAACGGACCTCCGGGACCCCATCCCAAAAGGGCCGATGGAGGCAGCGGAAAGAGGAGGATGCTCAGCACCAAGCCCTGCGAGCACAGGGAGGTACCCCCAGCACAGAGGGGGTCTGAATTCCCCCGGGGGGGACCCTGGGGTTAAGGCTGAGCCCAGCAGGGTTCCTAGAGCCAGATAACCCAGCAGCGGCGATATCCCAAATCCTGGCACGCTCGTACTCACAGCAAAAGATCTACTGATGGGGTGACACCCCCCCACGACATCTCAGGAACAGAACTGCTCACCCTGCTCCTTTCCTACAAAGTCTTTTCCAGCGAAATACTAATTTCTGGGGCTGATGAATCACTCGTCGTGATTATCAGTGATTACAGGCTACTGGCACTAATCACACTCGCTGGTGCCGGTGAATGAATACTGATGAGGCAATTGACAGGGAGAAATCAAATAAAAAAAAAATCCCTCCTGCTCATCAGCTCCTCCTTGTTTGCCCAGCGGAGGAAAAGCCATTAACCCGTCACGTGGGGACACCTGCTCAGGGGACAGAAACTCACCGCTCCCATTCAGACATGGCACCCACGTCCTCCCAGCTCCAGCGTCCTGGTGGCTGAGCCCCGCGGGGACAGCCCTGCGGGTAACCCTGGGAGCTGTCCCACTGTCCCTCCCTGCCTCCCCCTGCGGCCAGACCCAACACCCATCAGCAACTGCCCATCCCTCCGTGCCACCCTCGCCCTCAGGGACAGAGCTGTGTCATCAGTAACACGTGCTGGGGCAGCCCCCAAAAAAGCGCTGCTCCCTGCCTGCCCCCCTGGACCACCTGCAGCCCCCCATCCCTGCTGCCACCAGCCCAGCGGTGACATTTTACAGCTGGATGCCATCATCGAGGGACGTCCAGCCTCACGCCATCAGCCCCGGTGCCTTCCCTGCCTCACCCTTTCCTTCTTATGAACCCAATTTATACATGTGACACTTCCCCGATGAATATTTCAGCATCATTCAGAGCTCTCAGCATCATTCAGAGCCAGAGGCTGAGCACCCACCTAAGACACAGCGCTCTCCCCCACCGGGGCCATCCATACCCCAGCAAACCCCATCCCGGGGCAGGGATGCTCCCCTGCAGCCGGCTCTGCCCCACGGCCACGTGCATACCTGCAGTGGATGACGATGGGGCCGGCATCGGGCGGCGTCGATGCCTTCACCCTGCGGATAAAGGCCAGCAGGCCCGTGGCGTGGTAGGGGACACCGTGCTCGGGCCAGGACGTGAAGTGGAACTGCTTCACCTCGTGCCGGGCCGAGTAGCCCCGCTGCAAGGGAAGGGTAAGGTGGAGTGAGGGTGCACAGGGAGGGCAAAGCCACCCAAACACCTCATTTTCTTGAGAATCCATGATTTTGCCAGCTCAGCATCCAGCCAGATGGACCACACAGCCCCACAGCTCCCTCCTCGCCTGCAAAAGGGTTAAAAAACAGCCAAGGAGGAAGAGGAGGAGGCAGCAGCAGCCACGGGTCTAATTCCATGAGTATCTTTACTACCTGCCCTATAAGTAGACAGTAATTTCACATTCGTGTAGATTAGGGGTAAATCGCAGCAGGTCCATCCCCAGGTACCAGGCTGGAGAGTAATGGCCACATAACCTGCACTCCAGCCCGGAGGAGAAAAAGCATCCTTCACCCCCGCTGCAATTACGTGGTGCTCACATGGAAATTAAACACTCACTCACTGCCAAAACCAAAGTGGGGCTGAGCCGCTCGCCCCGGCGGAGGACGCGGAGCAGGGGAAAAAGCAAAGGAAGAAGCTACCAGCATCCTCAGGGCTCAGAGGCTGCACCTCAATCAGGGATGAAAGCCGCACGTTGGGGTAAATAAATCAGGTATTGGTAAATGCCAATCTGGCAATGGTTAGAGATGGCCAAGGCTGCCTGAGGGTTGGGTAGGTCGCGGCTGGCAGGAACGGTACCGTACCCTCTCGAGAGCAAAGGTGCGGACGGCGTACTCAGCCAGTGTCTCCGACTTCACCAGGGTGATCTTGATGTCCCCGTACATCTCGGAGTCATCCGGCCAGTATTTGGAGCATTTCACCTGCAAGGAGAGGACGGGATGGGGTTTTGGCTCTGCGGTGGAGGCGTCTGGCAGAGGCAGAGCCCAGAGGGAGAGGGATGGGGTCCTTACCCGGCCCACCTCCACCAGCTTGGTTATCATCACGATGCTGGAACAGTGCCCCTGCCACACCATGCGCCAGAAGTCATACACCATCTCCTGCTTGGGCCCTGCAGGACGGAGCAAAGGCCACCAGGGATGGACGGGCAGCGCTGCAGAGCCCGGCCACAGCAGCACCGCCATGCCACCGCGTTTCCCCTCCTGCCTCAGTGGCACTAACACCCCCCCCCAGCATTTTACCACCCTTTTCCCCCAGGGGCACCCGGTGCCATGGGGGGGCAGGAGGGGTGGGAGCTGCTCCACATTGCTACCGCCCCATTTGGCCCCCAATCAGCCCATTCCCTCCCCTTCTTGCCCGCATAAGGTTAAATCCCACCAGGGACAAAACCCGGCTGCTAAATCAGGAGCTGGTGAA